GGAACCTTTGTGGGAAAAGTACTTGGTGTGAACGCGCCTATTGTGTCATGTGATTTTCTGGGATTATTTATTTTATTTGACCTCTATAAAGTAAATGCTGGTAAGGTTGAAATGGCTGTAAGTAGAGATGTCCCGATCCGATCACGTGATCGGGGATCGGAGCCGATCACGTGATTTTCAAAAGATCGGAATCGGGAGAAAAAAATCGGGGATCGGGATTATTATTTTTTTTTAAATACTTATTATTTTGTATTCAATGTTACAAAACAAAAAAGACCATGTTCAAGTCTTAAAGTCATCCTGAGGCCTTAGTTTTGGTTTCAAATTACACAACATCATGTATGTGTTGCTTCTTTGGGGCTTGTTTTCATAGACCTATTTCTCTCAAATCTGGCAACAGAGTGGGCAGGGCGCAGTGTCTAATTGTAGCAGTAAGCTAACGAGTACTGATAAGCTTTATTTTGTTTTGATCCAATGCTGCACAACTGAACTGATCCAATTCTGCTGTGAAAGAAAGAAGCTATATCCATGTTGGATAGAATATCCAATTTAAATAAAAAAATAACCTTAAGGGACAACTTGAATGCTTTTTTTCTTTTTTTTCTCTTAATGCATTGCATAAAGATCGGATCGGGAAAAATCGGTATCGGCAAATTGTCAAAATTAAATGATCGGAATCGGATCGGGAGCAAAAAAAGGTGATCGGGACATCCCTAAACCACGGTATATCCAGCTGTATTCATATGCCTGTATTGTTTTGTGTTCATTGTTCATGCTGCCCTCTTTGAATGTCAATGAGACTTTTAGCTGGTTAAATAAAGGATATATGATCACCTACCCCTTTCTGTAGTCTCTTCATCAGGAAGTCTGAGCCCCCGGGCTTCTGGCCCATGCCGGGGTACTTGGCCTTCAGCTTGGCCTCCTCTGCCTTCACCGGGTTTGCATTCTTCTCTTGGGAGTCCTGTGGAGACAAAAACAAACGCACGTAAGAACTCGTCTTTTGCAGAAAACAAGGCCAGTCGATATCTCTTCAGAGACAGTCAGCACAACTGCAAAAGCTGTTTAAGTGACAGGTTATTATTATTATGGTATTTACCCTGCAATTCCAAAAATGCTGCTACTACGCAAACACCTACATCCAAGCAGTGATAAACATTCTTCAAAAATACTACAGCTGTTCTTAATAACCTCTGCTGTGAAGTGGGACAGAGCTATGACAACGGCTAGCTGGAACTGAAGATACTTCACAACAGCGCGTGCCATAAGAAAAATGTACCTTTGTTACAGTCTCTCAAATGACCATTATGCCTGACAGGCCATAACTCATGATGAGGACACGGCTTGGTACAAACGGACCTGAAATGAGGTCAAAAGGATTTTAGAAGCTTACACACCAATAACTAACAAATGCTCTCTTTGGGAATCTTGTTAAGGACTATGTGCACAAAAGCATCATGTAAGGATCTGTTAAAGGTGAAACTAGTCGATGAAGAAAGAACCCAAGACGTCTATCCACTGTTCAACAAATTCTACTTCAGTTAACCTTTATAGAAGAGCAATACAGTATCGCTCATTAGATAACTACTGCTGAAGCACAAGTTCATAAATGGTGTTATTTTCACTTAATGTGGACATAACAAACTTTGTTTTCTGCTTCCTACGGTCACGCTTTGGCCCCTTATAACAACGTTTACAGTAAATATCATGGATCCCTTGCTCCTTTTATTTTTGGGGTGAATTCATTGGTAATATAACTAGTGTGTTATTTAGAAAACATATTGGAATTAAAAGGTAGGGTAATCTAGAATTTGAAAATACACAGCCGAAAAAAATCTGCCCCTTCCTTCAGACTTCCTTATAGAGCCCCTCCTCCAACACACACGAACGCGCACATGACCAATGAGGGCACGAGATGAGTTTGTGCACAGATGGAAGGCTGACAGGCAGGTAGGCCATCCAGTTATTTTAGCCGGGCCGGCTCAGATGATTGGTCGTGCTTTTTACAGCACCACGGCTTCCACAGATGACATTTTTTTATGTATTTATTGTCAAAGCATTTAATGTATTCATTGCTATCGGGATGTTAAGAGCATTCCATGGAATATAACACAAAGTGTTTCTGAAGTGAATTACCTACCCCACCTTTAAGGTCAAGAAGCAATAACTTGACAATGTTTTTCAGCTCTTACGAAACCAGGATAGAGTTACTGAATCCTTAGGGCGCAGCTCAGAAGACACCGCTAGTATTTGCACAATCCGCTAACAAGCAGTAGCCAAACAGGTCAGAGACCAGTCTTTCACGTCCCTGTCAACTACATTTTGAGGACAGTCATTAAGTCCACATTGAACCACAGCGTAAATCAAGTGGTTTTATTGCATGCTGAAATGATAAGGAAATATCAGGAGTAAAGTGCATATAGGATTACAGAAGATTCAAGGTTCAAGGCTTTTATTGGTCATACGTACGTAGCTACAGTGTAGTTATGACGATGACAATCTTAGGTCACAGGCTCCTCCAACAGTGCAACACAATAAAACAGATAATAATAATAATGCACTGTTGGAGGAGCCTGTGACATAAGATTGTCATCGTCATAACTACACTGTAGCTACGTACGTATGACCAATAAAAGCCTTGAACCTTGAATAGTGCAAGTAAATAGAATAAAAAAAAATAGAAATAGTGTAGAATAGTCTATATACAAGTAATTGGAATATTGATATATATAAGTTGCAAACAGATGAATGTTATGGATGTTCTTTCAAAGGTTCAGGTGTTTAACATGATAAACTCCAGAGGACATGTATGCACTGTCTGCACACACAGCACACACCATAGACCTACTTCCACTAAACAGACAGGATAGGGCACTCTGCAAAGCTTGCTTGGGCAGAGATAAAATATGACTCAGGACACAGAAGCCAACGAACACATTCCCTCAGGAGGAGGGGGGGGCGTGTGGCAACGACGGTGCAGATTCCATGAAGAGAAATGTATGAGCTACTATATTCGGCCCCATTGCAGAGAACCTGCAGAATCCAACAACACATTCTGAAATCGTGCAGTAGTTAATCCGTCATGTGCAGAACTGTAAAACAACCCTCAGTGGCAAAGTTTGAAATATCATTTATTTCACACTTTGCTAATATATCATGTTCCAGTTTAGAAGTTAACAGCATACATTTTCTAAACCAATTTGCATGCACTGCTCCGAACACTAGGATGGGTCAAATGCAGAGAAACCATTTCGTTACATAGTACCTGCACTGTGTAATGACAATACAAATTATACATTTGGTATCCTTATTAACTTTGTGTTGATGAAAATGTAAAATAATGTTAGCTAAATGAGTGTTATGATTTTTGGTCTGGCCCTAATGTTTCCCTTATTTTGCACATATTTATTGTGTTATTTAAGTCTGACAGAAACTAAGTTAGCAATGTTGTTTGTTAAAATATCATTGCTAATTACCATGTCTCAATATCTGTACACACAATGAAGCTTAAGCATAAAATACACCAGGTTTATCAACATTAAGAGCTGAATTAAAGCTTCTAACGTACTGTGCAGCCAATCAGACACATTTAATGGCTCTGCATTTTATCTATAGATATCAACTATCATTACATTTCTATGTAACGAAGACAAAAAGCCATACATTATTGATAACAACAATGAAATCAGACCTCTCCCTAACTTCTGACATTCATGTCATGTTTATTTGTGTGTGTATAGATATTATATATATATATATATATATATTATAATTCGTATAATTCCACACATCAACAAACTTAAGCAGGACAGACAAACTGCAGGCCTTGTAAACGGAGAATAACAAATCACACTGAATGCATATGACCCATAGTGATGTCATCATGTTTGAAAAATAATTGTTGCAGGGGATGAACCACATGTACATCACTGACGTTGTTGTGCCACTGACAGGAAATGCGGAAGCACTGTCACACTGCAGTTGTTGTCACTGTCAGGAAAACACAATCAGGAACATCGAGCCATGTGCAAGTCAGGGAAAAAACCCACTGTTTTATAATGCCAAGTGTACTGAGTGAAACTACCCATTTCTGTGTTTACTCGGAGAATACAGGCCCTCCATGGCACATTTTGAGCCCCTCCAAGACAGACCAATGAGGCCCGAGCTGCTGTGGAGTCGCCAGCCAATGACACAAGGCAAGGGACAAAACAAAGTGACACACTGGCAAGATGCTTTGGGACAGCCACGACAAAACCACGTTTAACACAGCTAACAGCTTATCATATCTTTACATGTCTCAGAGGAGTCTTCCTCTGCCTTTCTGTAGCGCTGAGAATACACACTTCACTTGTGCTAGCTAGTGTTAGCCACTTCTAGCTAGCTGTGGTTAGCCAACAACACCAAGACAGCAGTCATGAAAACCCACCTGTTTTTCGTCCTCGTTGTCCACCTGAGTGTCCGAGTTGAGGTTTTCTGACGACATTGTGTGAGTGTGATGGACAAGCAAGTGTCCCGTTTGACAGACAACTCGAAGAGGGGAATATACAAGGTACGGTTTGATGTACCTGTACTGAATCTAATCCTCCTTTTCTGGACACGACTAGTGCTGCTGCTCCCCAAAAAAAATGGCGTAACGAGATGTGACATCACCAATGAGGGGGTTGTTCGCATTTGTCATTGACATATACAGTAACCAATAGGCGAGCAGTGTTGGGAATGAGAGGCCATGATTGGTTTTGTTCTCTGTGATTGACAGCCCGTCGACCAATGATTTTACAGAATGGCGACTGGAAAGCGATGCGGGGGCTGCACTGCATCAACACAGAGCCCCTTAACTGCACATAAGATACATTATCCATGTAAAATGTTGGTTTTACATCTTAATTACTCCGTGTCATATTAATAAATGAATACAGAAAATAAAAAGAGGATCAGCGTCAGTGCTTTTTGAACTAAACTTCGGACAAGATCCCTGCACTGTGATTGGCTACTCCTTCTTGACCGTTGGTGCCTGTCAATCAAATTAATCGCGGGAACGGTTTGATTAACACAAAGCTAGCTTGCTTACCAAACTTTAAAAAATACAAATTATACGGTTTGTATTATATTGTTTGTTTTTTGTTAAAATATTCCTTCATTGTTGCCATCTAAGTACCAGCTAGGTAAGTAACAGCGCCATCAAATTGTGTCAGAGACTGTTTTAGCTTGTGGCTGCCTAGCTATATGTGAATAAGCTAATGAGCTAACATTAGCAAACTTTGGTTGTTCTCACAACATTTCTCTCTGTTTTTGCAGCTTTGATTACTCACCTCTGCAATGGCTTGTGTCCAACAAGTTAGAACTTCACAGGTAAAATCACTCCTAACTTACTCATCCAGCAAAATATTAAAGTTGATGAATATTTAATAAGTAAGTAAGCTAGTTTAAGATAACTGTATAGATGTAATCTATGTTGTGTTACATTGTGTCCATATTTATAACAATAACACTAGTTATTTTAGATAAAGTACAATTACTCATCCACTAGAAACAAGTTTAATGTACTTTTTAGCATGATCATTGTATACTACTTTATACATCTACTGTACAACATACATGTAATTGCTCAAAACAAGAGTATCTGCAGATTTTATATGTATATAAATGACCAAATCTATGATCATCATTTATTCATAAACTGCAGGGGTAATTATATTCTGGTTGCATCTTCTCACCCAATGATTTATGTTACATTACTTACCGTATTACCAGCACTCATTTAATACATTCCACCACTAGATTTTGTCAAATGATCCACAGCATTATTAAGATCTAACAACACTATTATTATTCTTGCTTTGATAGACTTGAGGGGGGAAATATTACATTGCATATTTTAAAAATTGTATTTTATATGTTATGTTAGGCTCACTTGTTCTAATGCAACTGTTGACTGATTTTGAGTGTCTCTAGCTGTGATGAGTAAGCAGTACAAAAAAATGTTAAATGTACCTTTTAGTGTATCTGCAGATTTAGAGTTTCTATAAATTACAAGATATATGATCATCATGTATTCGTAAGCTACAAACTTAACTATATGACCACCACTCATTTCGTAAATTCCTCATAAAATCTCCCACCACAAGATTTTATAAAATGATTCCACGGCATTATTTAGGTCTAAGAACATGTAACATATAATTAACCATGTTCACTACTATTCATTTTGCTTGTATTTAAAAAATGAGAGAGATGGTGGAATAATTGATATTATATGTAATGTTGTAGACTCACTTGTTCTAATGCAACTGTTGCACGGTCTGGCAGTGGCTCAGTCAGTAGGGACTTGGACTGTGAGCCGTAGGGTCGCCGGTTCAAGTCCCCAACCAGACCTAAATATGGAGTGTGGTGGACTGCTACTTGGAGAGGTCCCAGTTCACCTCATGTGCCCTGCCGTGGTGCCCTTGAGCAAGGCACCGGACACCCCCCTTCCCCCCTCACTCCCATTGCTCCCCAGGCGCTGTACAATAGCTGCCCACTGCTCCTCGTACTAGACTCCTGGTTCTAGGATGGGTTAAAAGCAGAGGCCAAATGTCACTGTGCTCTGCATGTGTGACCATGGGTTTCCTTCCTCCGATTCTATTCTATTCTATGTTGGCTGACTTTGAGTGTCTCTGTTCGCTGTGATGAGTAAGCAGTATGCGATTAATTTCTCTCCCTCGTGCAGGATACTCAGCTGTTACCTAATCAGGTTCGCTCAGAGCAGCAGTCCGTGATTGTTATGAAGAGACTTCTCGCCATCGCAGTGTCTGGGATCACATACCTGCGAGGCATTTTCCCAGAGAAGGCCTACGGCATCAAATATGTCGAAGGTTAGATTACACATGGATTTGTCGGCACATCATTCAAAGATTCAACGGTTTTATTTTCATATGCACAAAGCTACAGTGTAGAAATGGCAATGAAATGCTTCTGAACTGAGCTCCCCCAATAATGCAACATATAATAAAATAAAAAGTAGTGCAGAAAGTCTATATACATGTAAATAGAATATGATATATACAAGAACAGAATATGAAATTAAATAATGTAAATTAAGACTAATTAAATGTATTTATTTGTTATTGCGGTTGTTTATCGGGGCACTTCACAGAGCTCAGGTGTTTAGCAGTGGCTATCAAGGTCTATTTACAAACTTGAAATATCCCTCTTTTTATTATTCCCACAGATCAGAAAGTGATGATCCTAAAAGAGGAACGCACCTGTCCTGGTGCCAACCAGATTGTTAAATGGTCAATAACAACTTGATATCCACAGTCATAGCTAAAACAATGAAAGTTGGAGGGTATGTTCCACAGCTAATTAGACGTGTGCTTTGTTTACTCTCTCACAGGATGCAGGGATGTTTTGAGGCCATCCAGAAGAAGTATGTAAGTCAAACTCAACCTTTTCCATCATGTCTGACTGAGTCACTGAATTAGACATCAAAAATGAACATAACCAGCAGCGGAAGTCAGAGTTTCCGTTAGAATTTTTTTTCGCCGGTCAACATGTCCGTTAAAGTTTAAATGTTCCGGACAAAATTAGAAAAGTGCCTCTCAAAAGTCTTCTTTGTTATTTATTGAGCTTTAAAACAAATTGATATGATTCCATATTAAACAAACTAATTATAGTAGATTAACTACATTATTCAAAAGTGTACAGTAATTTACAATAACACGGATAAACGGAGTGCTCTCTCTCTCTCTCTCTCTCTCTCTCTCTCTCTCTCTCTCTCTCTCTCTCTCTCTCTCCTGACAGCCGTCAGTATCATGTAGCTCGCTGATCAGTAATGAGTGACCCGACAGTAAAACTAAGAATATCTATAACTAGTTACGGTAGTTTGAGAGATCATTAAAATAACTACATGTGATATTCTAACCTGAAGTGTGTGTTTTGTTCCGCTCACCGCTGCATGTGATCATGCAGAGCTGCGTGTCGACTCGTCAGCAGCAGCTGATCTCTCTCTCCCGTCAGATTAGACTTTACTCGCGTTTATGTCCATATCGATCAGATCTAGTTCTAGCTAATGATAGGACTACCTGCTTATTAAAAGACACCTAAACAATAAGCGTCGCTATGCAACCGGGTGAGGCCGCAAAGTATAGCGCAGCATTATGCATTTGTTTACATGCCCACCGGAAGGCATTACCAACAGATCAACGCACAATCAACCCATACAGGACATCTCTTTCTCCACATTACGTGTTAGACATTAGAATGGACTATTCTTGTCTGTCACATACACTAAGTAGCGCAACTGATGTGGTATTGTGCTAAGGGGAAATTATTTTGACCGGAGAGATTTAGATTTTCCGGTCTTCAGCATATTTTACCGGTCAACGTCCGGTAATTA